CTCCACTAATCTCCACTCTCATGTGCAAAGGGTATTTATGGCAAAGAGATACCAACCTAATGGGGGGAGGGGTGCTGCAGGACCAGGGACTAGTGTCAACCCTAAAGAAGACAAGCTGGGACTGGTAGGGGGATCTGGGAGAGGAGGGGGCTGGGGAAGAGGCTCCTGAAACTGGCTGCTGTGTAGGAGGGAGCAGAAGCTGGAGCGGGAGCTGGAGCCGCAGCAGAGGGAGGACAGCTGTGAGATGTTCTTGACTCTTCTTCCCTCCTGCAGCAGAGTGGGGAAGGATGCCCCTGGGTAGTGTGGTGGATAATCGGAAGCACCAGACTGTGCTCAAGGATCTGGGGAGGGGGCTTGCACCCAGATTTAGCCCCAGAGTCATAATGCACACACACTAATAAGTGCTAAGGGGCACAGCATCTCTACACATGTTCTCCTGGCACTGCCCTTTCTTCCACAGGTGTCAGTAGAGGCAAGGCTAGCTCAGACACATGCTAATGAGCACACACCAAGCCCAGGTCCCTCTGGTATGCGTCTTCATGTGGGTTTGACAGTTGAGGGGGTTGGGGGCTGTCACCAAGGAAGGACAAGCTTTTCCCCTGGACACAGAAACCCAAAGCCCCACTGCTCTGGAAAGAGCACAGCTGTGAAACAGACCAACACATCAAACCCAAACAAACAAACTCCATCGCTAATGGGAGGCAGCAGGATGAGAGTTCAGAGCTGTCAGACAAGGCTGGGGAGACAGACATGCTGTCTTCCAGCTCCCGTGCTTTCACCCTCTCTGGCTGCCTCAGAGCAACTGTTTCCTGGGGCAGGTGAGTGAGGTGCTGGGCCCCTGGAGCAGAGGGGTTGACAGCAGCAGGGTGCTGAGGAGAGGAAGCTTCAGAGTAATCCCAGCCCATTCATCAAGGCAGTCTCCCAAAAGACAGTGCCAGCTCCAGTGGCCCATTACGTGACCCACATCAAGTGCGCTGCATGGTCCCGCGTGCAGCATGGACATGCTGTTACATACTCAGCTATGCAGTCACTATTGCTGTGCACACAGACATACCCAGGTTTACCTGCAGAGCTGCACATGTGGACATGTCCACACATATATAGCTATATTCATGGACACACAGCTGCACAGACATCTGGCTTTACATGTGGACACAGAAAAACACACAGCTTTACACATGAACACACAACCATACACATACAGCTGTACAGACACATAGCTACACACTGATAGCTGTATACGGACAAAACCCCCAGACTGATACCCCCAGTTAGCCAGTCCCACACCCCTGTAATACAACCAGACAGTAAGACACTAAGCACAGGAACACCTGCACATAGCCACACAGCCATCCACACAAGTACAGCTATGCCCAGCCACAATCATATCTGGATGCCCACTTGGCACAGCTTCACCCAGGACCACCACCAGCTGACCCATCCATAGTTACGCATACAAAACCAAAGGCATGTGCATGTGCGCATGCACACACACAGGTACACAGACACTGGCGGGCACAGTGGGGATGTCCTCACCGGCTGGGCAGACACCAGTGTGAGCACAGGCACACTCTGGCCACAGACACAAAGGCATCTCTTGGAAGCAGACAAAGGCAGGCTGTGAGCTCTCCACTCCTGAGCCCTGGAGGGCATGCTCAGCTTTCATACCCCTTGTCCTGATCTGCCTGCTCTCCAGCAGCCTGGGGGAGAGAAGCAGCTGTTAAGTGGGGCCACAGAGCAGGAAGTGAGGGCCTCCAATACCCTCCTTCCTCACCCTACCTCAGGGTACCTAGCCAAGTTCCTTCCTTTCCTCAGGATGCTCCTGCCCATTCCTCGACTATCTGAGGGCTCCCCAAGGTGGAACAAACAAATGCACATCGCAAATCCAGGTGGAACAAGAAAAATCATTTGCTTTATTCTGGGTCCTGGAAGCTCCAACGTGAATCCGAAAAAAGATGTAACAGGGGCAGCAGCCCTAAGGGCTGGGTGCAGACAACAGTCCTGGCTCCTTTGGCCCTGGGAGCCCAGAGGGCAGTGAGGAGGCTTAGCCAGAGGCCCGGGACAGAAGTCAGGCCCCCCTGAGTCTCCAGCCTGAGCCGAGGAGGTGGAGGAGAAAGAGGGCAGAAGACTGTTCAGTTCCTTAGAAATTGCACCATAGGAAGGTGCAGGCCTCGGGTTACTCCTCACCCTTCTCAGGGGTACTGGGCTCCCGCAACCACTTGGCAGCCCCCAGGGGCTCAGCCTCGAGGCTCGGCCTTGGCTCCCCCATGGGTCCCTCACCCTCCAGATCCAGCTCCTCAAAGGACGAGCCACTGGCACCCGACTCGCTGTAGCTGTGCTCACTGCGGGTGTCACCATCATCCCAGCCGCGGCTGCTCACCCCAGGGGACAGGGTGGCAGCTGAAGTCTCCCGGCTGCCAGGACCCACCTCCAGGCTCACAGAACTCGTGTCACTCATTGTGTCAGCTCCTGGGCCAAGAAGAGGGAGCACAAGTTAGCTAGGACCCCCACCCCCACCTCCAGGGCAAGGACAGAGGCTCTACCACTGGTCCAGCAACTCAGCATAGACATGCACTCATGAATAATAAAGCCGGGCCTGGCTCAAGAGGCCTATTCCAGCTGCCCTCTGCCCTCTGTCCTGACTGGGGCTGCACTGACAGGGCAGATGGAGAGAATGGGGAGGGAGAAAGGAGGGCAGTCTGCTGTGCACTCCTCTCCCTAGCCTGAATTAGCCTCAGCTCCCTGCACTCCCACAAAGCCTGCTCCCTCCCCACCCCCAAACAGTCCATTAAGGACCACTCAGCCCTGAGGTGAGGTGAGGAGCTGAGGGTAGAACAAAGAGACTCAAGCAGTGTCCCCTCCTCCATCTCCCATTTCCCGCTTGGAGAAAGGTTTGTCCAAAGCCAGCTAAAGAACCCTGCTCATAAGGCTCAAGGACAGGAGAATGGTCCAGGAAGCCTACTCTCCTGCCCCCTTTTCCCCATGCAGGGCTCCCCAAAAGCAGCCATATCTGGGAAGTCAGCTGGCTTCTGCCTCTGGCCCACACTGAACCCCAATTTGAGGAGGAGGTTGGGGAAGGAGTGGGATGGGGAAGTCCTGAAAAATCCTCAACAAGTTGCATGGGAGAAGGATGCTGGAATGAAGCATTTTAAGGGCTTTCTTCTTCTATGCCTGGGTCACCCCAGTAGAGCCCTTACCCACTTCCAACCACTGGTGGCTCCTGAGCCACAAAGCAGCTGAAGGGGACCATGGAGAACTCTGCTGGTGGCTGGAGAGCCCTAAAATCCCTCCCAGCCTGCTCCTCCTACCCCCAACACCTCCTCCAGGGCAGGTTCATCTGTCCTGTTCAGGAGCAACCCCCAAAATTCATCTTCCCAGATCAGAGGCACTGGCAGCAGTTGGAGGTGGCAAGGAGGGGCAAAGGGCTCAGGCCCACTGTGTGTAGGAATCCAGATTGAGAGAAGGCGGATGGATATGCCTCCCTTCCTGTGTGAGAGGGAGGGGGGCAGCTGTCAAACATCACAGAAGGTGAGGGGTGAGCCAGCTTCCTCAGATCCTATCTCCATGGTGATGGAGTCCCAAGCCCAATGCAGCTGGGGATTGCTTGGCATTTGGACTTGGCCTGGGACTTTCACTGAGCCTCAGCTGTGACACAGGGTGGGGGTGAGGGGATTTGGGATCTGCTCCCCCAATCCCTTTATCCCCAAGAAGATGCCCTCTGAGCTCTACTGGCAGAGGTGAGGTGAGCCCTGCAAGTGCCAAGCTCCTGGCCCAGGGCCGCCTTCTTGCTGGGGCCCCAGTCATGGCTCCCAGAGTGGAGACATTCAACAGTGAGCCAGGGTTACTCCCTGAGTTATGCGTAGTACCCTCTGACCCTGGGGCAGGACTCCAGCCCTTCTTTTGCTCCTTAAATGATTACTGGTGCCACACTGGCTGCAAGCCTGAAAGGAGCAAAGGAGGTGGGTAATTTCTCCCTGGCCCCATTAAACTAAGTTCTACTGTCCCACCCATCCAATGGCTCTCTTGGGACTTGGGTATGGGAATCTGCCTGCTTGCTGGCCGGATGCCTCCTCCCTCTCCCAGTTCCTAGGTGAGAAGTGACCAGAGGAAGGAGCCCAGGGGTGTCCCTTTAGGCCAAGGCCCAACACGCTGGGATAAGGACAGCCCCTGGGCACGTGCAGACACCTCTGGCAAATGAGCCTAAGGCAGTGAAGCAGTATCCTTCTAGCCCTACCAAGGTCTGCACAGAAAGAAGTCCTGGAGTCCTGGGCCTGTGTCCCAGGGCAGAAGAGGCCAGGCAAGGCAGAGCAGCACCTGAATCCTGAAGGCTGCTGGGACAGAGAATGAAGCTGCCACCTTCACCCTAGTCCCCGTCTCCTCCACTGCCCACAGCCAGTGCAAGGAGATCAAATATTCATCGCCTCTCTGGAGCTAAATAATACATCAATGTAATAACAGGCGCAAGGCAGCTAATCACCCCCTTTCACCTCCCAGCCCAAGTGGGGGCCACAGCAGGGAGGCAGACAGGGACAGGCCAAGCCTTGGGCAGCCAGGCGCCCACCACATGCTGCTGCACAATGGCATGCACCTGGCAGGCAGACACCCGGAGTCTGCCCGGGTGTCAGGGCAGACCCTGTCAGAGGTGGGCAGACCCCTCAGCCCCTACACCAGGGAGTGGGCGGGCAGGCTGGTGGGGAGGACAGGCCAAGGAGCTGGGGGCGGGGGAGCTAAGCTGCAGCCAGCTGTAGTGAGTGCCAAGAAGTCCTTCAACACCCCTGGCAGGCAGTGTTTGGAAGGGGTGGGCCAAGGAGGGGGGCGCAGGCAGCAGAGGGAGGTCGAAGGAAGGTCA